GTTTTCTTCAAAGTGAGATTAGGCAAAGCCTGGAAAACAAACTGAACTTGCTGAATTGATGTAATGCAGTCCTAATAAAGCAGTTAAATGTATATAAATGAATTCTGTATTTAAAGAAGTGAAAGCTGTTGTTCATAATTAGCATATAATGAGTGTACATTTTTTTTAAAAGTATTTTTGCAAAAGTGGATGTATTTGAGTGGATATTTAGGCAGAATATCTTGAGCAATTTCGGGGCAGAAAGTCTAGCTTCTAAGCAAGATAAAAACAATTATTTGGACATGAATTGTTGGAGGAGTATATGGTAGTTGGCTGATCCATAAAGAAGTTTCTGAAAATCAGCAGCAGAATTTGCCTAGCTCTGGAAAATAAAAGCGGTGTCCAGAAGGTAAAGTGGTTTCTGTTTCCCGAATCCTCAGCAGCAAAAACGACAGATTTTTACAGCACATCAGGACAGTATTCAGGACCAGTATGTAAAAATTTCAGCTAGGGTGCTACATTTATTACCAGGAGGAGATGTGAAAGTGCCTAATTTATAATCCATTGCAAATATAACATGCTGCACACACAAGAGTAAATATTAAGTGTGATGGTTTTTGGAATAGGTCTTTGCAACCCACTGTTCAATTTTTGGACATTGATGTGATCTTCCAGCTCAACTTTCTCAGCCATTTGAAGAGCATAACACCCTATGTAACCATTAACAAGAAAAGCAGTAATGCTTAAAATGATCTGACCTCATAAAAATGTTACCTACGAAAGAAAGTAGCCAAAAGTCACTTAGAATTCCTGAGGATCTGCCTGAAGAATTAGACCTAATGAAACTTTTACAAGAGAGATCCTATCATTTTTTGTTTAATGGATCTGATACAAAAATTGTGTTTTATGTCTTTTCATGGAAAAGTTTGCCTACAGAGCAACTCTTTATTTATTCTTGGTGATGTACTGCTTCTTCACAGATTTGTTGCGAATCATTAAAGGGCAGTTTAGTGATGAGAAGTCAGTGAGGGTTGTGTAAAGCTATAGTAATAATCATATTGTGTAACGTGTATGCACCATTTTTTATGTGAGGATTTGTCTCATGTTGCAAATGTTTGATCAGCCTGGTGAGAACTGTTACTGAGGTGATTCTGGAGTCCACTTCACAGGTTATCCCATCTGGGGAGAGGTTGTTGGAATATATCATGACAGGAGTACATTGAAAATTAGTGATAGTACACAGTATAGTATTTAGGCACTATATTGATGTTATTGCATGTCATTTTATGGACTAGAACTCTCTGTGTGCATGTTTATTTGCAATGAAACGGCTCTGTGTAAGTTAGTCTGAAATTCTAGTGGATTTCAGTTCACCCAGCTGAGGTTTCACCCTTTCACTGTGAAGGAATAAAGCTGTTACTCAACCTTATTTCTCCCTTTGTGCCTGCGTAGTTGTGTGTATCTTCACGTTGCAGGTGCATCCATGGTGAGGACGGTGCTGTAACAGGTTTGTGAGGCTCTGGCTGCCTTATGTGCACATACTGATTGGTAGCTGCAGCATTCTCATTCTTCAAGTGATACAATATGCATTTTTAGTTTACACATTTAAGTTCAGCCTACCAGAAACCACTGGGATTATTGCAGGTTGCTGTGGCATTGTCTTTCTGTGGTTGAGATTTTGGAATATGTAGGTAAAATAACTATGTCTTAGCACATTTTAATAAAATGTAAAACATTCTAAATTAGAAATGTGTAATGTACATTGTGGCATGATTTTTAGGCTGGAACATATAAGGCTTGTGTTCATGAACACTTACAGCTGCATCTGCATTTTAATATAATTTTTTATATATGAAAATTGTATGGTAGAATGGGCTGGGGGACCTTTAGCTATCAGTTATATTATAAACATTGTGGATCAGGAGTGATTTCAGATCTCTACTCTGAGATTTTCCGTAATTTTTTTAATGTTATAATTTTGGACATTTGCATATCTAATTCTTGAAAATGAATTTACTAAATTGACTGTCCAAGTAGGTCCCAGCTTTTAAAAAATAACTGCCGTAGAAAAATTTACTTCACGATGAGATTGTATCCGTAGTTTGGAGTAGATTCCCTGACCCTGTATGTTTATCACAAATCAGGCAACTGAAAAACATGCCGTGCTTTTTGTCCATTTTATCCTGTTTTCTTTGGGGTCCTGAATTGTCCAGGAGAAGTCAATGGGCCAGTCTTCCAACTTCCAGGATTTTGGGATGCTATGTGGGCATTCTTGCTCCATATAAAGGCTGCAGAAGAGAGAAAGCAGCATTACTGCTTTATGCCTTTTTGGTTGATTAAGCTTTTCCTCAGAGATCTGGGCAATGTTTCATTCTGGAGACTGATGCTGCTTTACAGAAAAGAGAAGACTGATTTAGTTCCTTCTATACCTGTAAAGATGAAATGGATATTTGGCACCAAGTGTTTTTTTTCCTGAGTGTATTTCGCTAACTGCTGTTGTTCGCATAGTTAACCACTGTGGTAATTCAGTAAAATATTACTTTGAGTAAATTAGTAAACCCCAGCTTAACTTAAATGTACAGAAATAGGTAAAGAAAGCAAGTAGTTTGTAGTAGTGTAATGCCAACTTACTGAAAGAAGGGAAGTCTTATGCAGATCCTAGCCACGATTAGCATAGTCCCACAGCGCCAGAGAGCAGAGTCTTAAAAATGTGAACGTTTTTCATAAGAATAATGCTGAATTGCAAGAACTTTTTCAACAGTTAGTTTTCCTCATCAGTAGACTGTGTAGGATCCAGGTATCTCCAAGTACCTTTGGGAATCCCATCATTTTCCTATTACTGCAAAAATAAATTAAAAGAAATACTTTGCCTGAAGGCTTTAATCCATTCCTTCCTCAGCCTGACGATATCAGGATGTATATCCTCGTGTGATCACTGTAGGTTGTAAAAACACATGGTAATCCATGTTTTTCGTCTATGGTGTGTTTAGGCAGATTGAACATCATATGTTCACCTTATCTGCTGAAAGATGTGTAATTCTACTATGTTTTGGTTGAATTGAGTGATAATATATAATCCTGTCTCAGAATTACCCTTTTTCCCCATTCTGGAGACAGACTGTTCTAAAACAGTTCTCTTAAAATTAAATAGCACACTTAAGTAGCATGTTATAGCAAAAATTAGATCTTCCTTGGAGCAGAGAAGAACCAACACTGAAAAACAAACAACACAAAAAAATAAATACTATTAGTAAGATAAATCACAGAATCACAAAATGATATGGGGTTGGAAGGGACCTCTGGAGATCATCTGGTCCAACCCCCCTGCCAAAGCAGGTCCTCCTAGAGCAGATTGCACAGGAGCTTGTCCGGGCAGGTTATGAATGTCTCCAGAGAAGGAGACTCCACCACCTCTCTGGGCAGCCTTTTCCAGGGCTCTGCCACTCTCAAAGTAAAGAAGTTTCTCCTCATGTTTAGGTGGAACTTCTTATATTCAAGTTTGTGCCTGTTTCCTCTTGTCATATCCCTGGGCACCACTGAGGAAAGACTGGCCCCATCCTCTTGACACCCTCCCTTTAAGTGTTTATAAGCACTGATTAGATCTCCCCTCAGTCTTCTCTAGACTAAAACAACCCTCTCCTCGTAAGGGAGATGCTCCAGGCCCCTAATCATCTTTGTAGCCCTCTGCTGAACCCTCTTCAGTGGCAGAGTGTGTCTTCAGTTCGATAGAGGAAGCTTCCTGTGCCTTGTAACAAAATAAATTTTTGGTTTTCCTTCAAACCTTTTACAGACAATTTGTACATTGGGAAACTGTGCCTGAACCATTTGGCTGTAGAAAAGCTGTGCTAAATCTGTGAAACCTGTTACTTGAAGGAAAAATTTCTTCAAGTAATCACAGAAGCATTTCACTAAAATAAAGTGATATTTTAAATGAAGTGTATTTTTTTCTCAGGGATGTGTAAAGATGTGTGAGTGTGTGTTTGTGTCTGGATAATACGGTATCATAATGCCATTTAACACTCCTGTGACTTGTGATGCACGCATAGAGGCAATTGCTAATAATCTGGCTTTTCTTTTTTAGTAGTAACTTCTGTTAGATTTGTGGTAACATTAAGAATTTTTTTTATCAATCTCTCTAAAAGGCAAATTCCTTCCCTCCTTTCCACTCTTTCAGCTACCACCAGAGTCTAAATCTGTGAAGTTGATTCACTAGGCATCATTTCAAAAGCATGTTTTATGCACTCCAAGATTGTACCTGAAAAATTAAAAATGAAAGCTTTTTGTGAGATGAGCTCAATTAAATATAAATTTCAATGTGAATGCTTCATCCATTTCATGTAAATACTGGATTGGAGTAAACATAGTCTGAAATAGGGCCCATACATATGTTTATTAATTCACTTTCTGTCATAGTACCATATTTATCACTATTTGTATTTGTTTGGATACAACATATCATCACTCATTAATAATTTACTCAGTAGTCTTATTTATTCTCCTTCATTCACTGTTTACTTTAAGTCCTTCCCAAATAAGTCAACATTATTGTTTCCTTCCTACACTATCACTAAGTTCATTCACATGAATACAGAGTTTGGAAAAATACCCATCTTAGAATATTTTGGTGTTTTACTGTCTTTTTTATCTTTATGTTGTCCAAGTGTCCCAGGTTCAGTTGCTAATGAGTGGTTCAGTTGGTAGAAAGGATGGTAGGTATTCTGTTTTAAAGTGTCTTTTAGCATGAAGGGTAAATAATATGCTGATCCATGTTGAGATCTGTATACTTTCCATTAAAAAAGTGAAGTTTTCTGTTCTTCCTCATTTCTGGAACTCCTTGTAACTGTTGCCTCATTTTTCCATTTTCACAGTGTTCTTCGTGGTACTTGATTTTTCAAATTGCAAATACACATTGGTGATATGACCAATACGAAAAATTATGCCTGTTAATAATGTTTACTGTATAGGAGCTGTCTGCAAACACAGATGACGTAAATTTTACTGTTTTGTTTGTTTTGAATTAGGCTCATGCACAGTTAGTTCGAGAAGTCGATGTAGAGAAGGTGTCAACTTTTGAGAACCCATATGTAGATGCGATAAGAAGCTTATGGAATGACCCTGGAATTCAGGAGTGTTATGATAGACGACGGGAGTATCAGTTATCAGATTCAACTAAATAGTAAGTACATGGTGGCTACAAAAAACTATATATCACTTTCTGTTTCTAACAAAGTAATTTTTATTTTTTAGCTTCTTACATTGTATGTGTGTGCATATATTTGTATGCATGTGCAGCACAAATATGCCTGAATATACACTTGCTAAACTGAATTCAGAGGATACTTTAAGGAGCAGAGTGCACCTAGTTTAGGATTATATCTGTGTTTGTGTCACAGAATGACAGCCTGTGATCATTTGAAGTCTTAAAGTAAGGTTCTAAATAGGGGTAGTTAATCACTGATGGTTTTGTTTTCTTTTGTTATACCTGTTCAAGCCCTTACTCTCCTCTGACATACAGTTACAAATGCAAGGTGGACAACAATACATTCATGTAGTATGACAGTTGTGAATACTGGGAAGTGCAATCACAGTAGACCTCTATATAATTCCTAAAAATGATAATGCCCCAGAACTCCCATTTTCCTAGGTCTTCCCCTTTCCCGTCACAGATTGCTTTTGCAGTCCTAGTGGTGAGGTGAATAGTATTAAGCAAGTGTTCTTGTGCTTTACTGAATTGCCTACTTTTATGGAAACAAAGCCTAAATTTTAAAGGACACGGCTGCCAGGAAGACAACAGAAAAGCACTTTTAGGTTAAACCCTATTTGTTATAGGTCAACAATGAAAAAGCATATGTGACTAAACTATGTCTCAGATATTACACCTTTAGTTTCTTGGGGCAGAACTGATAAAATAGCACTGTGAAGTTTAACATTGGAATCTGAAGACTGCATGAGTATTGATTCCGTGATACTCAGTTACTCTTGAGTAATGTAGCATATAGCTCAAATAACATTTCTTGTCTGTTGTCAAGGAAGTGGATTACGGGTGGTGACCTATTCATGTTGACCAATGTTAAAAAATACAGCATAGTTATTAGAGCTGTGGCAAAAACTTCCATGGTCACCAAGTGAATATTTGTATTAGCTATGAAAATTATTCTGATGCTTTCATTGCAGTCTCCATTTGTCAGGTGTAGATTAATGCAAGCCTCTTATTAAGGAAAGCACACAAGAACAGAACGGCACCATGAAGCTCCGATTAAGTTCGTTGGAACAGGACTATAGGCATGGGATTTCTGGGATGACATTTATCTACACAATTGTCTGAGGATTCTTATCTAGCACAACACTTTATATGCTAGTCAAGGAAAATTTAGTATCTTGCTGATGCAGTTTTGGTAGCTGAAGACCTACAGATGCATGACGTAGGTGTCCTTAGATTTGTTCCTGTACTACCACCACACCATATTCTTCTCCTGCCATATTTGCCCCATGAATAGGATTCCTGTTGTCCTGTGCAGTTTGTTGTCCTGTGGAGCTGGTTACCTTCCTAACCTACCACTTTCATCATTTGTGTATGCATATCTTGGTGCAGAGTGGTACAGAGCACTGTGGCATCTCTCTTGTATTATTTGGATTGTCATTCTCCCCAAAGATACCATACTGTGTTTTGGTTTTTAGTGGTAAGAAAAGAAATAGAATATTTTAAAAAGTGAAAAACTTCAGGATGCATAAGTGGTGAAAAGAAAATTTCAGGGACAGGTTACTGACTATACTTCCATATTGCTTCCATACTGAAATAAGCAGCAAGCATAAAAGGAAAGTGAAGCGCAGCTTGTCTTATACTTTGAATTTCTGGTATTTGTAGATCCTAAGTTGTTTCTACAACAGACGTGAAACTGTTTCTGAAGTTGGAATAAATGTTGGTATTTCATGTGCTTGCCTTAGAGGATGAAAATAGAATTACTTACTCAAAGTAGGCAATAATCATCTGATGCTACTCAGATCAGATTGTGCTGAATACCATAGTTTTGACCTAGTTCTAATGAAATTGTCACCATAGTGGATCATTTGATCATTAAAAATAGCAGGGAATAATTCACTAAGTAGCTATAGAAACATATTGCTAGTACATTGCCTTGCAAAAGGTAAATTACTAGTTGATCGGTTATTTTTGAAGCTCAACATGTTTAGCAATTTGGTGACTTTAACTACAATCTATTATAGTGCATACTATGGATCTGTTTTAAACTAGAATTGTCAATCACTGCATTTGAGCCTTTAGAAGACCCTCTCGTATATTTATGCTTGCAAGTTTTTTCAAGTATGTAAGTCCAGTAAAAGCAATTAGCAGAAACCAAAGAAACATTGTTTCAAGAAAACAGTGTGTATGTTCAGCAATAAAACACACAAAGAAAATTTGCTAGCTTTAAATCCCTGTTGCAAAGCAAGAAACAAAATGCTTGAAAGTTGCTACTGGGATTCACAGGACAGTAAAACAAAAATAAGCACCCAGTGCCCATTGACTTGGTGAGTCTTAGTAATTTCTTCTGACTTGAGGAAACCAAAATAGTTTGTTTTCCACCAGATCTCTTGTAAGGATGTGTGTCGATATTTTTAAGCGTATGTGTCAGTATGTGACGTGTTCTTCATGGATCCCTTGCGTGAGCCTCTCATCTTCTCAGTAGTTTTCCCCTGTGTTTTTACAGTAGTAGTATTTTTGCTTTGCATTGCTTCTTTTTGTCGGTCAATGGTATTACACTTTGTATTCCTAATCTATTCCTTTGTATTTTCTGTTTCTTCTATTGTTTTCAAATTCTTTTTCTGTTTCCTAATATATCCTGTATGTTTCTATACTTTCTGTCATCTTTTGAGCTGCTTTGTCGTCATTAGCTACACTTTTGATGTTTTTATACCCACTGCTAGTACTCTGGAAGAATCCATTAGATGTGTGTTTAGCAGAACAGGTGAGGGTAGGGTCTAAGAAGGATAATTTCCTGCATCATGAGAGTTGATTTGAAGCTCTTGGAGGCTGAGCAAATACATTCCATTCTCTTTCCCTTGCCATTGGATGCTCCAAAGGTTGGGTGTGCGTGTTGTTTTTAAAAGCAGTTTCTAGACTTCTCTCTGGTAAAGTGGAGAGCACGTCAGGTAAACAGAGATTATTCACTTCCCGTATACATTATGGGGTGACTTTTACCACAAAACCACTTGCCTTTACAGATACTGCTTGCAGTGAGAGACAGATGTAAACCAACACCACGCTGTGGGATTGCCTTAAGTAATAGCTGTGTGAGATGAGATCATTCAATGTGTACTGTACAGAGTGTCAAGACCTTAACCTAAATATAAACAGGTTACCAGTCAACAGTCTGGTTGTATCTTGGCTTTTCAAAGCCCCAAGAAAGGAAAGGCAACAGTGTGGTCAGTAAGAGAGACAGTTGTCATAAGTAACATTTCACATTTATGTTTAGAAGTTAGAGAATTTGGGTTGCAACTAGAATTCGTGGAGATTCATCACTGTTTTTCCTCACTATGACAGTGAGGGCTTTCCTTTCATGAAGAAAAAGTAGGAAGTGTTTAGAACTGGAAATTTTCCCAGAAAAACTTCATCTTTCTCTGGTCCCATAAAATGGAAGTATTATGTCATTGTGTACCTCCAACCAAGGACTTCCTAGTTGCTACACAAACACATAGGATATCTGTTTTGTTTTCTGTCTATGGCTGTGTTTTCTAACACTTCAGATAATTAAATACAATTTTCCCTCAGGTTCCTACCCCACTGTGTTAGCTACACCAGTGGTATTCAATACACAACTTTGTCATTATTTAATGTGCTGCTTTATTAGTCATACATGCCCTGGCATTCTCTTACATACATGAGAGTCCTTTAACAACTTAGTTCCTACACTTACACAGCCATGCATGTACCTCTGATGAAGTGAGTTGAGTTAGCCAGGCATTAGTACAGAAATACAGATTTCAGTATTTTACCATGTAATAAGAGCTCCAGGGTGTGACTCTGGGAACATCATCAGGCTACCACTGATTGTTAACAGGGAAGAAAGAGATAAATCCTAATGATGTCTGCTCATTAAAGTTCATGTTTCACCTTTTGTGAAAGCATTGCATGAATTGTAGTGCTTTGGTCATCAGCTAATTTTTGTATGACCGTATTCCATCTGCGTTTGAAGTTTTTGTAACTTCAGCTGAAAAATTAATTCCTTCATACCTGTCTGTTAAAAAATAACAGTTTGCTTCCAAGTTCCACTTCTGCAACAGGTGCATTTCAGTAGAATTACTGTGTGCTAAATGGAATGTGCTTAGGGGCACACAAGGGGAAAGATCAGTGTATGAACCTATGTTTTTGCTACAGCAGTTTACTCCATTTGCTGGTGTTGCCTCTAGCAATCAGAATATTCATTCTTCTGTTTCATACAGCTCTGGGGAATTCTTAGGGCATTATGCGTTTGTGTGAGCCTTTCAGAAGGACTAATATTGTCCTAAATTGAAGCCTGCTATGCAGCTGACACTGGTATAGCAAATTATGAACAACTACTCTATGTGATATCTGTGTAAGAGTCATTTGTTGGGACTGAGAAAACCATCTACTCATCATTTATAAGATATATAAGCACATCATTATTTGATAAACATTTTAATACTACTCATTGATTCTTTCTTCCCTTGGTTTGTAAAGATGTACTTTAAAGTTCTAAAGCTGTATTTGGGGGCAATTGGTATTGCAGAATGGTAGACTCTGCTTTTATGTAGTCACAGTTGACACAGCCTTACTTGTGTAAGGTTTGCAGTAAGATAAAAATGGCAAATAAAAGTAAAGTCTGAAGATTATGATCAAACACTAGCAGCAGAACCATGCTAACCCTATTTTATGCCTTAACTGTAGTCCCTAAAGAGGTCTTTCTTCAGAAAGGTCTAAAGAAGGATGGGACATCCAATCTACTGCATATCAAAGCACTGCATCTTACAGAAAAACTGAATATTATGCAACAGAACTAGGGAAATTCAGAAAGGGAAGTGGGATTATATAAAGCAGAATTCAGTATGTATTTCTTTCAGGATCCTTTTTTTTCGTGTGGGACTGAACATGTTTTTAGTATCTGTATTATTTTTAAACCACATTTCCTATTAAGAGAAGTTTGCACAAGTATTCTTTTT